ATTATGGTCTCAGTCCATGGTTTCATATTTTAACTGTTCCTACACGGTGTTATTATGAAATGACTATGCTTAAACCCAAAGTTTCCTCCACATCGATGGGAGGCAGTTGAAGTGTTTCAGGCATCCCAGACCAGGAGAAAGAAGATGTCCCTCAGCTGGCTTGGGAATGCCTCACGCTTCATTCACAGCAGGGCAGTCATGTTCGTTTGTGCATGTATTTGCCTGCAGAAGACAAGTTTTCAACCAGTGCAATCCTCAGAAATCCCTGCTGCACTCTGCTCGACGTGGACGATGCTGTGTGTCGCTCACATGCTGAGTTGTTGACAAGTGAGGTGAAACAGTTCACCAGCAATGGGAGAAAAGCAAGAACAAATTAAAATAAATATTAAAAACTACAGCGTGAAAGGTAAAGACAGTGGTTTCAGTGAACATTCTTTACTTTTTTAAGCATATTTTGCACTTCAGCTCGTTGTCTGTTAAACTGTACGTACTTCATCAGTATTTTATACATAAATTTATATGAATAATATATATTAGATGAAAAACACGGGGAAAGCAAAGGTTGTTCTGTGTGTCCACTGTTTATATATCAGGCCACAAGATGAAGAAATGTCAGAGTTGGCTGCATCCATCTTTTATATGTGGTCTATGGTACAGACACTTATCTGCACACTGCATATCTGCTGTTTCTTCACCATAACACTCATAATTTGTCAGTTGTTATGTCTCCTAATACTTGAATAACAATTTTAAAGACTCCCACAACTAGTAGTGCTGTGGAGCCACTGGTTGTTGCTTACAGGTGAGGACATGTATCTGTACTTAACGGCATGTTATGGTAAGTAAATGAATGAAGAAAACTCCACAGGATTCTTTTAATATTGTCCGATATGCATAATCAGTCGATTACATCATTTTACATCAACATTTTATATTGTTTGTGTGTGTGTGTGTGTGTGTAGTTAGATTAGATTAGCAGCCATTTAGCATCTGAGTTACCACGAAACATTTACAAAGATCAGTAGGGGAGACCGGGGATAGTTGTAACGTGGGTCAGTTACTTCCAGTTTCTCCAATCAGGGCTAAGTTTCAAATGATGTGACTCATCCTGTGCACGCCCAATTCAGTTCTGCTATCACATGTGAAAAATCAGCACATTTTGTCAAACACAGACAATTTAACACGAAAAAAAGTAATTTGTATGCCAAAAAGTAAGTTTTTCTACTTTATTTCAATGTTTAATAGCATTATCTGCTTTGCAGTTAAACTCATCAAACTTGAATTATGTTATTTGTATGTCTATGGGGATATATTCTGTGTAGGTCTTTAGTGCTAATGTTTTAGCCGTTGGCTGTAATGTTAGCTAGTTCATGGCTATAGGAGTCTGGGTCAGTTGTAACAGCAACAGTCTGGGTCAGTTGTAACAATGATGCAGATGTTACAACTTACCGCACTATTACTTTAACTTATATTAAACAAGTTGGGGCAACGACATCAGCAGAGAGAGGTTCACTGGTCGCTTTTGTATATGCGGTTAATGCCATTGGCAACACAATTCCTCCACTGTTTGTGTTCCCACATTATGCAGACCACTGTGTCAGAGATGGACCAGTAGGAAGTACTGGTAGTGGAAATAAGTCAGGATGGGTGCAAGAAACAGATTTCCTCATCTTTCTGAAGCACTTTGCAAACCACACCAAGGTAAGCCAGGATAAAAAGTAATGGAATTGCGATGCTGGTGAACAACTACATTTTTTCAGCTTCATTGTTATGTTCAAAAGTTGGTGCAAGAGTTGTAGGTTATAATGCCCACTGAGCCAATGAGGCCAAACTCAAGGAAGACCAACCAAAATTAATGAAATATTCAGTTGCAGAAAATTCCATAACTTGTCTTTTTTGGGGGGTTGGAATATGTTCAAAAGCTAGATTTCTGCATTCTGTCACACACACACACAGCTACATAAATGGATGTAAGTGCATTCATGTGTTGAATAAAAAAGATTACATGTTAATGTTTTGTCAGTACTGTCAGCTAACCCAGACTATGGGGTTAATTGTAACATTTCACTCTTTGTGTTTGAGACCATACCATGCAATGGGTAATTGTGCTGCAGAGAAAATAGCTGCACTATGTAATAGCAGAGACATGTAAATACTTTGCATTACATTTTGAATCCACTACCTTAAAAGAGCTCTAATTTACAGAAATGTCAAAAATGTCACAACTATCCCCGGTCTCCCCTGTCGGCCTGGCTGTGATCTCTGCCACAGGTAGTAAAGCAAGCTAAGCTTGTTTGACTATCCGCTACAAAGTAGTGAAGTTTCTTTAAAGAACAACTGAAAAATGTTACCCTTTAACAGCTATGGAAGCGGCCTTTGCAGGGTTCCAGTCAAATACCTGGTCTGTACCGCCCCCAAGTGGCTCTTCTCTTATATTGACGAGCGGCTGCTTTACAAACCTCACAGATATTGACGACTTAAAAGTTGTTTTGGGTGGGAAACAGATATTCTGTGTACACATATCTACATTTCACCTTATGAACAGAGCGATAGGTCAAATATCCTATAACATTTGCCCAGATTCATTCATTTAAACCATCCAGAATGTCCAAAAAGCTTCTGTAGAAAATGCCTTCTAAAGACAATTTTTTAGGTATAGCAGAGCCGTTATTAATCTTTTTTTTAAAATATTTTATTGTATTTATTTAATCTTTTTGTCAAATGTGGCTTTCTGGTATTGTGGTTAAAACATCTGCATTATACGTGAAAGTTTCCTGGTTTGGTACTGTGAGGATACACAAAACCCACCCTCAGAGGGTCATTAGCTAGTTCACAAGCCCTGATTGTTGGGAAGTCTGTCTCATGAAGAGCATCCGGTGTAAAATCTGTGCCAAATCAGACATTTGGATCATTTTGCTGTGGTGACCTCTTGGGAAATAAGGGAGCAGCTGAATGTAGCTCTGGTTAATTAGTATATAATAAAACCTGTTACTGCAGGGTTGAAGCAAGCAGCATTTATAATTTTCTAATCCTGGGTTAGTGAATATTTTTTGCTGCTGTAATACCGTGAAATTATTATTTCTTCTCCAGATGTGCACAAATGTGGGTTTAAAAACCCGATACGGTGTTTCCGTTTCGTGCTCACAGTTTCCACTCTTTATAAGACATTAAAGACCAGTTAGAAACACTTATGTGTGAACAGATCTTTGCACCATCTGGTGCCTTATTTGAACTTGTATGACTCAAAGTCAGCAGGTTTCTGACACTGGGGGCGTTCACGTGCAGTGGGATGTTCCAGTACTTTTTAACTGAAATAAAACTGACCTCAGCATGGGCACACCTCTCCACATGCCTTGAACTGGCTTTGACAGCTTTTGCACAGGACGGGCAAGATTAAAGATTAAAGTGTGCAAACAGGAATATAACATGTTACACAAGCAAGATCAAATTGCATCGATTTACTTTACTCGTGCTTTTGTCTGTAGGTAAGTCAAACTAATAAAATAAATTATTTGATTCAGGTAAACAAAAGTAATTCCAGTGACATTCAACATGTTGCTCCAATGATGCAGTGGTGCAGGTTGAGGTGTTATCCTTTTCTGCTTCAGTAACATTTGATAACACTGATAATAGCAACTTGTGAGGTGATAGATGCACCACTGTGTTGCCCAGCTATTTGTATACTTACACATTTATTAGCCTAACTACATGTGAGGTTAGTTAGTGTTCTACCCTGTCCTAGTTTAGTGGTAATTGGTCTCAAAAAAAAAAAGCACTGGACTGGCTTTTTGCACTGCAAGCTGCATCCACACACCTAGATGGACAGATCGGGGGGTAGTGAGGGTTCACTGTCTTACCTGAAGACCTTATGAGTGTTGGACAATGTGCTCTAAATCTCGAGCCACCGTAAAAAACGGAATATTTGGGGACCTTAGTGGAGAGCCAGGTAACCAGTGAAGTGGTCCATCCGGGAGATGTGACTAAAAACAAAAAGTATCATTTGTACTACACTCCGCACAAATTATTAGTTCAATTGAAATCAGTTGTAATTATATAGCGCTAACTAACAACAACAGTCACCTCAAGGATCTTCATATTGTGAGATGAAGACCATACAGCAACACAGAAAACAATCCAACAATCAGATAACTCTGTATGAGTGAGTGGGAAGGAAAAACTCCCTTTTAACAGGAAGAAATCTCCAGTAGAACCAGGCTCAGGTAGGGGAAGCCATCTGCCGTGACTGGTTGGGGTCTAAGGCTCATCTATTTTTACTCAAATGGCTAGTGGGTTTTATCAAAAGAAGTAAATAAAAGAATAAAATAAATAAACAAAAGCAATTTCCTTTTAATGTTACTTTATCTTCTGCACGAGAAGGGAAATGTAGAGATATGCAAAGTTTGCGAGACCTGGATTGAAAACCAGGAACAGGTTTGATGAATCCAAATTTGAAAGTTCTGGTGCAACAAAAACTTGCAGAAACTCTACAGTGACTTGCAGGATCTACAGTCACCTGTAAAACACGGTGGAGGCTCCATCACAGTTTGTGCTAGAAACCGGCAAAAGGTGTCAGGTGTTTTTTCCCCCCAGAAATCTCTGCAGCTGTTTCCCATTTCCTGGAAAAATATAAAGAAATAAGGGGTGGCACAATACTCAAAAGTAACTGTTTTTTGGATACAATGGACAATCCTAGAAGCTAACTAGCTATCTCTGTAGCCTTTAAATTACATTATTTATTACAGTTAAATATATTTGCTTCACATTTCAAATGAAAGATTAATTGATGATAAAAAGGCAAAATGAGAAAGACAGCTTCCTGTACCTTATTAGACTGGAATACTCTAAGGAGTATCTGATTTACTAATCCTGAAAATCTTCCATGAAGAATGAAAATGTCCAAAATTGGAATCTGGTTGCAAGAATAAAAGCAAGTGAGAGTACATAGCGTATCTAATCCAAACTTCAAACAGCAGAGAACAACAGAGCAGGAGTCAGGCATGTTTGGTTTATAGCAATGTTGTCTTTTATTCTAATTTCCAATAAACAGAGAATATATCAGTCCCTTATTTGTACAAAAAATACCTGAAAAGGATACAATGTAGATCCAGGAGCCGCACAGACAGAATGAAGCAAAGCACAGTGGAGGAGTGTACATCAGAAAAAATGATTACAGTTCATTTGATCCTTTGTTTTTTTCCTCCCTGGAATTTTATATTTGACTTCAACTTATGATGACTTTGACCCAGCAATAAAAACAATGAGTTAGCTTCACTTGCACCTATAGTGTAAGTCACCGAAGTTCAGTGGGACTGACGTGTGACGTCCACATTAGCATTTAGTTCCGGTAAGGCTGCATTTCACAGTCACAGCTAATTTGAAACGCAGTGTGAGAGTGGACGGACGGCAACTAGGGAGCTGTGACCGTTTCAGAAAGAGGCACGTGCTGCGAGAGAATACAAAAAAATGTTACGCACCTTTAAGAAAAATAATCAGACAACATAGACATTATAATGAGATGCACAATCCTCTGGAGCTACAGCTTATAATTGCACTACTTGTGATGAAAAGCTTAAGAATTAGCGTGTGCGCTCTCCATCAAAAAACAATGCTGTGTGTGTGTGTGTGGGCTTAATATCCACACATGGAGTGTAAATGACAGAGAGGGAATACTGAAAGAGTTGAAACCTGGCAGAGATGAAGACTCCGACAGCCTGTCAGCTTATAAACACAACCGAAGTTCAGAAATTTGACACATGCCAAAAATCCAGTTTGATTTCTTAAAATAAAATAAAAAAAGAAGTTTAATTTAATTAATACTGTATATGCTGTGGTATACGTCATTTTGTGGCAAACCAAAGACAATACACAATAAAGTCATACACACAATCATAAAATAAAAAAAAGGAAAAAACAAATCATTCTTCATTTTACATGGAGTTATGAGCAAAAGCATAACAGCCCATACATAGTGATCTGTGACCTAGGTACAGTGTTAGATCTACATCTTCTCCATAGCTTCACATACTTTGAAAACAAGACTTTATACTGGTATATATTCATATGATTGGACTTCTGTGAACGATTGCATTGTAGCACAGTGACTTAAAAAAAAAAATGGAGGGAGGACGGTGATTTTGTCCCCGCTGACCCATAGTGACGTGGCTTTCATCCTCTGTCAGACAGGGAAGAACCTAAACTGATGACTGGGAATGCTGGGAAACTTCCAGTCAAACTCCCGTCTCCTCTAAATCTGCAGCTTACCCCCCCGACTTTACCAGACTGTCTTCTTACCGCCTCTAAAAGGGCAAGCGCGTTAGCCAGCAGACTTCCTGAAGAGTGAATATAACAGTCTGGTCATCCGCACACCAACACACACATTTACCACAGGGTCATATAGCTTACAGGCTGGACACAGGTGGGAGAGGGGGGCGGGGGATTCAAGCATTATCCAATCCCTGGAGAGAGTCTGACCTGACTGACCAGAAAGGCCTGATTGGTGGAGTGCAGAGCTGGTGAGTCGTTTAAGTCACGCGATTAGTTGGCTGGTGGCGGCAGTGGATTGTGTGTGTGTCTGTGTGTGTGTGTATCAGTGTCGGTGCTTAGAGTCTGCCGACCTCATTCTAACCCTGTGAATCTGGGGTAGGATGGATGGAAACTGCAGGTGAGGGCGGGACGGGTGCTGCACAAAAGCAGGTGTTATGTCACACGGGTTCAGTTGGTCATGTGACAGTAGGAATGACAAAAAGGATTCCTCGTCTCCTTTCTTGGGCATCTTTTTCCTGTTACTATAAATAAGGTCAAAAATAAACTAACTCGTGATCTGTTTAAGCTACTTTGAGAGGAATTTCTATGTGAATCTAATTCTTTGGAACTGATCTCTATGCTGACTATTACAGATTCATTTTTAGAGACCTGGCAACAGCATCAACAATTGGCATTTTCTCTTACATGTCATGAATTGGTTGATGACAGCTCATTTTTTTTCAGTAGACCAACTAGGTAGAGGGGGGAAAAAGCTTATGATACCGACTGATTCACAAACTGATGCCACTTTAATGAGTTTTGAACCATGAATGCTAAGATTGGGCATAAGGTTAAGGTTCTGTGTTTAGCATTTAGCCACCTATTAGCAAACTCGTTCTCTGTAACATACATGTGGTATGTTCTAGTATAAAGCTAGCGTTCAACCAAAAATTCAAGGAAACCGAAACAGTAAAATGGTAACACATTTTGGACACATTCACGTGACAAATGTTTTCCATGAGATCTACTATCACAGCAGCTAGACTTACAGACTAACCATCACTAATATCCAATTTAGTCAATTTAGAAGATTTTGGTCAAATTTTGGTGTACTGAGATTTCTCACATGGCATCATATTAGAAACGATACAACCACTAGTTGTCAGGGAAACATATTTACGGACTGGTTGGTAGTACTTCCAGGAGGTTGGTGGCTCTCGCTGGGTGAAATCAGTTGCAAAGTAGGTGCTATAATGGAAACCTCCCAATGACTCCTTTGGTTGCTAGCATATTTGCATCGCTGTGTGTCATGTATGTCTGAAAGATATTTGTAATTACTCTCTGAGCAGTAGTAAATTGTCACACAAACCAGAGATGGAGAGGATTCCTTCTTCAAAGTAAAAGCTGTGCTTGAGATTTACAACCAGCATGTTTCAAAAAAGGACAACTTTTACATAAATACAAATATTCCTTGTTTCCTTTTTTTGCTGCACATTTTACAGTTTCCAAAATGTTTTCCATACTGACAGGTGGGTCATTGGGGAAAAATAGGGGCCACTGACCACCCGGAAGGCATGTGTGACTGAGACTTTATTTTTCGAGTGAAAACCATCAACCTCCATTAACTACTTGCAAGCATTAAAGTAATACTTATTTCCCCATCATGACCAGTGGTTTCCAGCTGGTTGCAGACCAGTCTGTAGGCTTGTGTGATTGGGGCCTTGTTCACTTTATCCTACATTGTCACATGTCCAAAATGGCCGACAAGTTAATGTCACATGGTTAGGGGTCATGTGTCTACAAAAAATAAAGAATGAAAAAAAAAATCTCAAGAACCAAAGGTGACAGCTAGTACAACAATCTGAAACTGGAGGTTCAGTTCACTAAACCTGTTATTTGAGAAGCTTGAATAATTGAATACTTTTACTTTTTCAAAATGAAAGAACAAAAACAAATACTTGTTGGCCCTTAATTTACTCAAACAATGACCTGGTACTACTAAACTAAGCGAAACCCCTCTGTAATGTTAGCTTCCTATGTCTCTGTAGCGGTGGATTTGTTGTTTGATGGATTGGTTGTGAAATCAAGAAAGAAGCCATTTCTGCTTGATTATAAAATCAAGAAAGAAGCCATTTCTGCTTGATTGTAATTTAGCGACCCTGTTGATGTTTAGCAATGGTGCTCACTTCATGCAGCTAATGGAAATATCTAAATATAGAGTTAACTGACATTTTATCCAGATCTGAGATTGCATCACCAGTACATGTTTTCAAAGTTTTGTTCCAATGGATTTTTACTTTACAGGAATCTTTTAGACCTTTTGGAAAATATATTTTTTGCTTTCCTGTTAGAAAAGAAGGCAGAGATGAGAAGCTAGCTAGTTATGTGTGATGCTAGCTAGCAGTCTACAGCCAGCTAGCCAAGCTCAGTAAAAACATCAGATAACTTTCACAAACTGTTGTTTCCAGGATGATAAAACATGTTGATTACTGACTTTAGAGGTGGCTTTAGGCAGACTTTCTAACTGCACAGAGTCAAGACTGCTAGTCACGCTAGCATTAGCCTCATATTTAACGTACAGATCCTGTGAGTGTGTTTCATTTCTTGACAAGAAAGCAAAAAAGGACTGTTTCCCAAATCTCCCACCATTTCTCCCCACTCATGATGTTCTTCCACCACCCCTGAATAAAAAATCCCAAACGTGTTACTCTATGTGCATTACTTTTTAAAACATAGCTTCAATTTTATACACAAGGCTCACAATTTTCACTTAAGGCGAGTGAAGCTCATTTGACTGCTTGTTGACACACAGACAACTGAGTTCACGTTTCAAGTAATTTGTTCAAATTTCATATTTAAAATGTTTTTAATAAAAGTTTCGAGAGTGCTTTTGTTGCTTTCAACGAGGGAACAGTGGTCAGAATCCGAACACGACAGCTCCAACCCATCGACAACAAATCAGGCTGATTTTTTTAAAAATGTGCAAGCAGAGAGCTCAGAAATTATTTAGTAAAAGGAAAACATTCAAAGACAAATTCACCAACAGATAAAATAACCATTTTGATTGGAAAAAAAAGACCGAAATGGTAGAAAGCTTGGGCTCGACACACTTTAAAGTGAGTCTATTTGAAAATCTTCCTCTTCTTCCTTAAAGTCTTGAGACACCTACAGCTGGTTCAAGAGCACATTCATGTTTTTTAATTGTTGTGGTCTTGTTGGTACGACACACACGGCTGGGGAGGTTAGTTAGATGTTCTTAAACCTTACTGGAAAGCACTGCATGATGTGACTGTGCTCCCACACCACCGTAATCCAGCCAGAGCTGATGGAAATTCACATGCGTGCTTTTCAGAAGGGGAGTGAAGGAGGAAGAGGAGGCAGCTTCTCTTAGCTAAAGAGCTGTCGTCTGTCCGCTCGGGAGTGCAAAACAAGTTCTTCATTGAATCAACAGTAATAAAACAGCATTAAAATGACATCAAGTAATCAACTCTACAAGAGAGGCTTGTACAGCCTTCCTGATAAACATTCCTCTGTCCTTTCAGCAAACCCTCGCCCCTGCTCTGCTCGTCTTGCCTTTCAGCGACTTCTCGTTTCTCTCCCGACTTTTTTCTGAGCTCGTGTGGAGGCGGGATTGGGGTTGCATCAGGGGTCTGTGGGTCGGGACACGGCAGCGATGCCACGTCATGCCCCGCTAAGGTGTTTCCGGGGGGTGGAGGGCAGGGTGTCAGCTTATCCAGACTGGACTGCACAGGTTGAGAAAACTCCTGGATCAAGTTTGATGGGACCCAGGGAGGTTCCCGTCCATCCCTGATGATCATTGAGGAAGTCAGAAGGTGGCGCTCCCCGCCCACCTCGGTATCGAGGACAGGGCGGGCACCACAGCTTATCAGGCCTGGAGGATGGGGAAGGTGGGTGGGTGGGGCTGAAAGGTTTGGGACTCTAAAGGAAGGGATCCATCCAAGAGACCCACTGGAAACATACTGTAGCCATCTTGTGGTTTCACATCACGCTGGTCTTTTTCTGGGGTCTGAACACCAATAACAAAACAACCGCAGGAGTCCACAGTCTTCGACACTTGGCCGTTACCCACTGGGGGACATCGACTTCCAGTCCTGGCTCCTAGCAGAGTTGTTCACATCCGCAAAACAGGACGTAACTTTTCTCCATCTCCTCAACCCCCACTGCGTTGGTAAGGGAAGGGGTAAAGGGGACAGAAGGGGAGGGAGGGAGATCTCAGGGAGAGAGGTGTGCAAAGAAAGGTTTGGGGGGGAGGAGTGTCACAAGGCCACAGCGGTGCATGGGTGTTTGAGCTTGCAGGGCAGCACTCCTCTGTTAAGCTGGTAAAACTCCACCAGGTGAATCAGATCGGTGAACTTGGTGGCGCCGTCGTCGAGGCTGAAGAATACCTGACCGTCCTCCTCACACTTCAGAGCAGAATCAGACGGAGGAGAGGAGATAGTTTAGACACCACATGACAGAGACTGATCTTTATGAGGTAACGATAAAACATGGAACATCTGACAGGAGTGCAAACAGATGATCACATCCAGGTCTACATCGCCAGGCCACTGTACTGCATTTATAAGATAAGCAAATGATTTAATATCAAACACTAATGAAGCCAGTTAGGTTTAGGGTTAGGTTTAGGACATTATCCCTTCTCAGACCTGGAGATGACATTAATATTCAGTACAGTCTGTGGAGTGATCCGACTGGCTACTTTTTGCATTTCTTTGACGATATAAACTACAAACCAACAAATTTTATACTCCTACAGATTAGTTTGTCTATCAGTCACTTTGATCCACACTAGAATATCAGGGATGGATGAACATGAATGAGTTTTATCAACTGGGCATTTTTAACATTTACACTTTTGACTGAACGGACAGAAACTCCATTGGAGGAGAATGGCCATCTATTATCAGTTCAATGTAATCAGTCTGAAATACATATATACCTTTTTCCAAATAAAGTTAAAACACTTTCTCCATGCAACTGCATCTTTGTCAATAACTGATTGATCTGTTTCCTCTGAGCTGTTTCGAGCTGATTTCTGTCCTGCAGCAAAACAAATCTAAGTGCACGGCTGCCTGGGAGGAAGCAAAAAACACATTTTAAAATCTTAAAAAAGCACAGCGTACTTTGGACACGGGTTGGTGGTGATGCTAAATGAGTGTAGCAGGCTCGCTGGGCAGAGTCTGCCGTAGGGTTTTTTTACACTATAGAATTAAACTGCATCGCAGACTATTTTTAAAGATGGACCTGCTTCTGGGGACAAATATACTCCTTTGCCGGTGATGCCAACAAGCCACAGCAGCTGGTTTATGAGACTGTGACTGCAGTTTAGCAGTCAGACTATAACAAGAAGTCAAATTTGTGTCATTTTCACACCGTTTCTCATTTCAGTGCATCTTAACAGAGGCGGTGAGATTTTTCTTGCTTTGTAATCACACTGACCGGTAGGATCTGGAAGTGCTTGATCTTCTGGTGGTGGCACAAGGTGAGCACGAATGCCTTGGGATTACTCTGACTGTCCCGCAACAAGAATAACCTGAAAGAAAAAGATTACATCATGAGAACTAGTTCAACCACCTTATAAAAAGGACTGACATATCTACCATGAATTTCCATATGCTTGATAATACACACCTTGAATATACTGCTCAAAAAAATTAATGGACCACTTTGAAAAATCACGTTGGATATTACTCCACTGGGTAATGTGTTAGGATGAAAAGATGCCACATCGTTTGATGAAAACTAAATGATCAACCTACAGAAAGCTGAATTCAAAGACATCCTGAAAATTTAAAATGATGCAGCAGGTTATGGATGGTGTACCGGGGCATCTCCTCCCAGATCTGGACCAGGGCATGACTGAGGTGCAACCTGGTTGCTCAGATGCACTGAAACATAGAACATAATGTGGGGTGTTCTGTTGCATTTAGGTCAGGCCAGCAGGGCCAGTCAATGGTATCAATTTCTTCATCCTCCAGGAATTGAGTGGATACTCTCACCACATGAGATCAGAGATTCCCATTCAACAGGAGGAAACCAGGATCCACCCAGCACCAGAGTAGGGTCTGAGAATGGCTCCAAAGATTCCACCCTGATACCTAATGGGAGTCAGAGTGCTGTCACCTAACCTGTAGAGGTCTGTGTGTTTCCCAGACTATCATTGACCCACCACTCAATCGGTCATGCTATGTTACAGGCAGCATAATGTTCTCCACGGCTTCTCCACATCCTTTAATGTCTCTAATATGTCCTCAGGGTGAACCTACACTCATCTGTGAAAAGTACAGAGCTGCCAATTCTGGTATTCTATGGCAAAAGCAGATCTGGCTCCAATGTCCTGGGCAGTGAGCACAGGGTCCACTAGGGGATGTCGGGCCCTCAGGCATCATGAAGTCAGTTTCTGATTGTTTGGTCAGAGACATTTGCACCAGTGTCCTATTCGAGGTCATTTTGTATCTCTGGCAGCGCTCACCCTGTTCCTCCTTGCACAGTGGACCCTGCTGATGGGTTAAAGACCTTCTACAGCCCTGTCCAGCTCTCCCAGAGTAACTGCCTGTCTTCTGAAATCTCCTCCATGCTCTTGAGACTGTGCTGGGAGACACAGCAAATCTTCTAGTAATGGCTCGCATTGATCTTGATTGGTTTGTACTGTCCAAGCTGTCCAGCCTTGGTAGGGTCCAGGTATCGTCTCATGCAACCAGTAGTGACACAGACCCAAGCTAAGTGCAAAACTAGTGAAAGAAACAGCCAGAAAAGATGAGGAGGGAAAAATGTCAGTGGCCTCCACCTGTTTGGGGGTTGTCTCATCGTTGCCCCTCTAGTTCACCTGTTGTTTATTTCATCAACACCAAAGCAGCTGAAGCTGATTAAAACCTCCTCTGCTACTAACCTGACCACATCAGGTCTCAGAAGTTTAACTGACTTGATGCAATATTCTGATTAAAAAGTGCTCCAGTAATTTTTTGAGCAGTGTTCTTTTGCAGTTTCTGGAAAGCATTAAAATTTGCTCTGTGTGTGTTGTTGCTTTGACGAACCAAAGCACAATCATCCTGACAGCACTTGGACTACTTTGACAAAATTATCTTCCTCCCGGAGCCTTCACGTGAGGAGCGCTCTCCGTTCGACAATGTCGTAACTCACCCATCGACTTGGCCTTGTTGTATCATCATTTTGTGGGCTTCCTCTCTCATGATACGACCATGAAACCACACCTGTGTCCTGTGAATCACTGAAAAACACGCAAAGTTTTTCACGCACACAGACAGACACAACCATATTATATATATTTGTAAATGTATTTATACTGCTCATGGTGTTATTGCTAGGCCAGTGTCACATGAGAGTACCTGTGCTCAGAGAAGATGGATGCAGGGGACTGGGACTGCCCAAGACATTCATACGCTGACTCCTTTTCTATAAACACCACATTTATCGTTAGATATCATCATGTAAAACAAAACTCCCTCAAAGTCAAAGTCCCTAAGCCATGCCCATCACGTGTGTAACCCTCATGGCAAACTAAACTATGTTTAAACATCACTTTGGACCAAAACAAACACAGGAATGTTTTACTGTGAATCACTCTTCAATTCTTTTTAGTCCAATAACAAACACTCTACTGAAGGATGCACAGCTTTGGTAAAGTGCAACTACTACACACTTTAATTCACAAAGAAAACGCAGCCTTGTAGGGTATGAAAGGCTTCAGTGCATACCATCCATAAAAGCAGTCAATTTTTAAATATACTGGGAAACTCCTGCATATTCTGTGGTAATCACACAAAGCAGCTGCGGCTTGAATACGTTTGCACTTCTAGTCAGATATCCTCTATTTCCTATCTAAGCCCACCCTGCAGAACAGAATCCTTGCTCCCTCTGCTTACCCTCCAGGTATGCCCTTCTTCCAGGGCGGCGCTCTGGGCCTCGATGGGGTTGTCGATGACGCGACCGGTCCGCCCGGAGAAGTCCATGGCAACCAGGGAATTCTCAGATACGCTTCGCTGTTTGGAGAGCGGCAGGGTGGGTGGAGGGTGATGGTGGTTGGGTAGGGGTTAGAGGGAGGGGGCATACAAGAAAAAGGGTGGAGGGGTGGTAGACAAGGGTCAAGGGTTAAACAAGCCAGACACACTCACTGGAGCATGACAAATCCTGTCTGCACACAGACCCACTTTAGTCAATCCACAAATGCCCCTTTTGAGGAAAAGCACAAGCCTCTGCTGGCTATCTGGCTGTGGGACTCAAATTAGTCAAGACTTTCTTATAATAAATGTAATATAATATAATATAATATAATAATATTACTCTTCACAAAATAATCCAACATTAATTTTTCCCCTTTTTAGGAGTCGTTGTTATATTATATCCTAACACCTTTCAGAAGAAGTTACATTAATTAAACATAATGCTCGAAGATCTGCTGTGTTAATTTTTTCTCACGGTCTTTCTAACCGTTTCCTAAAAGCTTTGATAATCATACACCATTACTCTATTGAAGAAGCGCAGTGGCAAACCCAGCTTCAGCTTCTAAACTGAACGCTGAGTTCAGGAAACATCAGGAAAACTGAGTGGAACTGCTTTTAGTTTGAGCTGCCACTGATCGCCTAACACTTTCAGATAGCGGGGTTTGTGAGTATGTGTGTGAAGTTTTAAACACAGGCTAACTCGCTGTAGAAGTATCTAATCTTAAGGTTAGGGCACAGACTTCAATTGTGGAGAATTGCGACTAATTCTATTCACAATCTTTCCAAAGCAGCTTATGACACCTTTTTCAACACCTCATGGTGCGAGGGGATTACACATCACACCTGCAAAAAACAATTCTCCTGTTAACTGTGCATGTGTTGGAACAGTATGTAAATATTCACTTATTAAAAAAATAGGATAAGATGTTTTTTAATGGATGCCATTTTGCTGTAAACTGTCTGCTTACATTAGCAGCAAACGTCAGCAGTAGCCTGGTCATCCGAATATAAAAATCTATTTCAGCATTTCAATAAAACAAGTTTTTTCCTCTTAAGAAGCTTTGAGCTTCGTCCCAAGATTACTATCGGCTAATTCATGCATCAATCTGGATTCGTCCCTGCTGTTAGAGCAGAGCTGCAGTAAGGCGATGTCACAGAGAGCAGATCCTCACCACAGGTGCAGTAAAAGGCGAGAGGTTAGACTTCCTCTGCTGGGGCACGTTGTAGCTCTGATACAGCACTATTCCGTACTACGGGGGCAGGAGAGAGGAGAAGGCATCAGCTTAACATCCAAGCACCAACTAACTCATTAATGTTTAACTGCGACGCAAGAAAAGTGCAGGGTTTTTACTTTGAACAGCCTGAAGGCAGTCATCCAGCAAGTCCTGCTCTGCTCGTCCTCCGCACACAGCATTTTCAGTTCCTTGCAGTCGCTCCTCACTTTGCTGGGCTGTCGACCAAACAGAGGACGCAGCGGGGAATTAGATTAACGAGATGCACATCGCAAACATGAACAGTAATAAGGCTTCATGTGACCGTGCCAGAACACAGTCACAGTGCAGCCACTGTTGTGCTCGGCAGCACAGGTCTGCGCCCTAATCACAGCAAAGATCTGGCAATCAGGAGTCGATTGAAAAGAATTTAGCATTTTCCACATGACCCAATCTTTATTAAATATTTATACACTGCATGCAGTCAAATAACATGAAAGTAAGTGATACAGTAAGGTTAGGAAAATCTATTTTTTTATGATTTATTTATGGACAGAGTTGCGACTTTCCAGGCAACTCTGTCCAAAATCACAGCTTAGACTTTTTCCTTTTTCCTTTCCTCCTTCCACCACCAATAAGGGCATGAGGCACACTGCTCCCTAAATACAACCTCATACTGATAAATTCATTCATGTCACCATGGCAACAAACCCCACCACCCCCTCACCCCACCAAGAAAAATCCCTCACCCAATCCTGCACTGTCACCCCCGCTGACAGCATCTGACACGCCAATCGTCTAGCACGTGTGTGTCTGTGTGTGTGTAAAAGAGAGGTGAAGAGGTCAGGTGGGCCAGATTCCCTGTGCCATCCCTGCTTATCCCCCTGAGCTTATCCCAGATCAGCAGGTACGCCCACCGCAGATACCACCCGGAGCGGGGCACAGTACTGAGAGTGTGTTTAAACCCCTGCTGTGCTGTTTTAAACCCATGTGTCCTCACAGACACGCCCACTACATACAACATATGCAGAGAAGTACTGACTTTAAATAAAGATTTCAAAACTGTGAAAAAATCTGTCAAATGAGACATTTTTTAGCTATTAAAGAACAATAATATTCATCTCTAGTGGGAGCCCTGAAGTTAAAAACTGCACTTCCTGTAATGACCACTAGAGGCTGACTCTAAGACTGAACCAATCCCCACAGACTCCCATGTTAGCACAACTTCCCAGCATGTTTACAGTCTGTTCAGCCAGTTCTTTCCTCTATAACCACAGAATGAGAGGTGAGATGTGTTGTTACTGACCAATGACTGTATACAGTCATCATGATGCACTGAAACTTTATTAAAGTTGAAGTTATGCAGTATTAGCGGATTAGCAGCTGTAGCCGCTAGCTGCCCGCTGAGCTACATTTCAGCTAATCTGAATCACTGCACTTTAACTGCGTTTGTGCATTTGGTACCTTTTGGAGCATTTTGTGTGTAATTATGTGGCTAATAATAAGGCCTGAAGTGTGACTACTTCTACTAACAAACTATTCGAGAACTCTTAGCTTCAGTGTTGCTGAGTCAAGTTCTACTTCCATGTTATTTAGCAAAAATTAGGATGAAATCATGGCTAAATATAGCACATATCTGTTTATGGATGCAGCTTTCTGACCACCCAAACGCAGTCACCTCTGGCTCCACAAAAATAACAACCAAGCGGCCAAAATCCTAAAAATCTGAAGCCTCAAAACATGATTTCACAAACCAGTGGGTGATGTCACTGTGGCTGCATCTTTATTTACAGTCTGTGGTTTGTCTGTGTGTTACCTTGATGCAGAACTGGTAGTCTGTGGGGGCGTTGTGAAGTTTTCGGCCCGTGATGACGGTGAAGACGTTACTGTCCTCCAGGTCTGACAGTACCTGCAAGTGCCGGGGCTCCTGTGGGGGTTGTGAGGGTGGCGATATATGATTTAAGCTAATGCACAACAAGCGCAAACACACACACACAAATTGTGGGATTAGGCAGCTGACAAGCCCTAGATCTAGTTTACTTCCCACCACTTCCACAATCAATAAAGCAATACTTTCTCACCTTGGATGTTCCTTTAGTGGAGTAATAAAGGCCGGAGCGGCGCAGGAACATGTAGAGCTTTTTCCAGGACTTGCGTCCAGGCTCTTTCACATGCAGATAGCCCTGAATCTCTGGACAGCTGCTTGAGTTCAGAAAGTTCTGGAAAACGAACGCACAACAACATCTATCGTTAATACTGCTGCAGGGCAAGGATATTATAATTAACCAAAACTAAATATGGTTTGTTAACTAAAATAAAATATAAATAAATAAAATTAACTGAAATAATTTGGTGGAACTTGGAAAACAAACTAAAATAAATATCCTTAGTTTGAGTGTTTGTTAGTTGGGTAAAAAGTTGTATTACAGCTTGCCTGATGAGGCATTAGTGGACGTGTTTGCTGAAAGTCTGGATGAGTCTCTATGAGTCAACCGCGTTCAACACGTTCTGTGTTTTTATTGCAATAACTGTGATTTTCCCCAAATCTGACCTGTGACCTTAAAACTCAAACTGAAGCTAAGAGAAAACAAAACTAAACAAACATTTTCAAATATTAAAAACTAAACTGAATTAAAAAGAACAAGCCAAAATAAAATAAAAATAACTATAATAGCACTGCTGCAGGGGAAGTGAATGCAGCACTGTTTGGGTATCTGCTTTTAAAATAGATCATAATGAAAATCTGAATTAAAAATGAATATCGCAGTGAAATAATGAGGCAGCTTATTTTATATTTCTAAAAATCGGGAAGCAAATTGAGCGCAGCACCATAATCTGTCTGTGCATGCGCATGCATATTTTTGGATGAACAGATGGTAACGCTCTTGAGATATCAGGGCTCGTATAATTCATAGTATTGCTTCACTGAGTCATCAACTCACCTGTAAGAGCTGTGACGGAGGAATTGAGCCATCAGACTCCTGACAAAAAGCCACCATCTGCTCCGGAAAAAAGTTCTGCATGGAAAAGACACACGGAGATCGCCAGTGAGCGAGAGACAAAGAGACAAAGAAAGAGAGAGAGGCACTACAGACCACTTAGGATAGTGCTTCTCTATCCAGAATGTGTGTGTGTGTGTGTGTGTGTGTGTGTGTGTGTGTGTGTGTGTGTGTGTGTGTGTGTGTGTGTGTATGGGATGTGTGAGTGTTCAATCAACACAAGGACTAAGAGCCAAAGTGGTGCGGAGACAGAGAGAGAGGGCACTCCAGCCCTCGGAGTAGATGCAGTATGATCTCACCCGCTGATGTAATCCCCTTTAACCAGCAGCGCTACTCTTAGCGTGATTGACAAGCCGTGGCCAGCACTCCTGTGTTTTACTGTGCTCATTACCACAGAGCTGAGGTCACCTGCTGGCTCTGACACACACCTAAATCACCCACAGCAATAATGTCACCGTATACCCGGCCAGCACACAACAGTAACAGCCCCACGCTGCGTCCATCGCCAGAAAAGATGCCACGCAGGCCGCTCGGCGCTGGCTGCCAGAAGTAGGGACGTGTACGTCTTTAAAAAAACGACGATCGGCTTTGCATTTTGAGACTTTAGCACCTGTCTGAAGGTAGGATAAAAGGATAATGATGAGTTTTAACTGAAACCGTTAGCTTCTTCCAGGAGGAAGAATGAAACGGGAAATGCAGAGAGTGTAGCTAAAATACTTTAGCATTGCCATTTACCCGTCATGTAATGAGGGCTTAAAACCCCAGCTGTGACTCTTTGTCTTATACTAATTGACGATTCCTGAACAGAAAAATGACTAAAAGGTGATTTAAAAACCCCGAAAACACAACAATCCTCTAATTTTTGGCTAAAACGATTAAACACAGAGGTGCTGGCTGCTAGCAACAAATTTGTTGCTGCATTTCAAAAACATCAAAAGATGAAAAACCTTTTGAACCCCAATTTCTCTCCCCCTCTCTCACTCTTTGTGTGTGTGTGTGCTGCTGTGTCTACGTGGCTCTGTGGGGGATGCGTGCTAAACCGAGGCAGTCACAGAAAGGTCACTTTAGGGATGCAGGAGACTCACCAGGGGGTTCCTGAAGAATTCATATTTGGCATAATTCTTCCTGAAGAGGAATTTACTGTCACCGCTCATGGAGGCTTGAACCTGAACCACCAGCTCGTGGTCCTCCACACATCTCTCTGAATGAGGGCACAGACACAGGCAATGTTAAAAAAAAGAAATTGCCCTCTGGGGACGGCGTCGAACAGAAACCGTCCGGTTTTAAATCTGCGAGCGCGGCTTTTAGGGCTCATTTGTATACTAAAAAGATTTTCATGTCAAAAACACCGTTCATTGTTCTTATTTAGATTCATTTTAGGGATTCATCCACAGCATAACAAGCAGCTCTTTTGCATACATTTCCACTTTTTTTCCTCCCTCCTGTGTTGACAGCATATTTAGAAGTGTCCTTGTCACTAAAGGACTTACTGTGAGCTGTAACTGCATCCCCTAGCAGGCTGAACAAAACAGCTTTTGAGGCGCTGAACCTGAATGTAATTCCAGTGCCATACACTGGAACCGTCGAGGATATTTTTATTTTAAAGTGTCTCGCAGAGTAACAGAGTATTAATAAGCTGTTCACATATATGAATAAATACAAGAACCTTTTGTTTGCTTGCTGCCAATCAGAAGAATGCTGGCTTGTTTCAGATAGAGGATGAACAAAGATAATAATAAGGATTATTTAGAACTGTGATTCATGGAAAGCTGCTATGCCAGAGTCCATGAATTACAAACATGCAGAGATCCATATAAGATGTCTCCAGCAGAAATTTAGCCACATTAACCCCCACATCAGCATTGTGTACAATGACGCAGCAAGAAATAAATACTTTTGATTTTTTTTAAAAACATCGCCTGTTACTAAGAGACGGGCGAGGAACTAAGAGGTTAAATAAGGAGGGGCGGTGAAGAGGAAGAAGCGCTGTGAGGCAGAGGAGGGAGGAGGTGAAGGTAGTGGTGTTGGAGGAGGAGGGGGGGGGTTTGCAGGAAGATGATGTCATTTATTTAGGCTGATTGCTGAGAGCAGCAAAGCCATAAGCAAAGTACAAACCACAGACAAACACACAACCACACATTACAGGCTCACATAGACCTAACCTGCTCACTGTGCACCACGGAGGCCCAGTTACTTTCTTTGTGTGTGTGCTTGCTTGTGTGTGCGTGTCCTCGTCTATCTTAAGTTGAGGGCACATGATCTCAGAGTGATGCAGGTAAGAATTTGATAGTGGTGGGATGTTCCAGTTAGACGTGGACGTGCAGGCAGGGTTCTCCTGTTTCACTGAGGCACAAACACACATTTCTAAACTGAAGCTGTACTCACTTCTTTTTTTCTTGCTTAGCTCTGGCTGTAGTTAAAGGGGTGGAAATGTCTGGACTCTGCGCGCGTCCGCTCGTGCACGCCCTCGTTGGCTACAAGCGGGGGAATTTCCTGTGGACAGTCAGGAAAGGGCCGATTGGCTAGAAAGGCTAGGGGCTCGTCCAATAGAGACCGGCGATTGGTTCCTCGCAGCTCTGGTATGACGCTTCAGTCCCAGGCCTCTCCGCCCTCCACCCCCACCTTCTGTCTGTCTCTCTCTTTCTTTCTCCCTTCATCTCTCCTTCCCTTCTTCCCTCTCCTCTCCTCTCCTCACCTCACATTCCATCGCTCCGGTGCACTTTTTTCCCCCCCCAGAAACGCAGATCAAGCAGGAAAGCACAAAGCAATCCTTTGACTCTAAAAATACGACTCGAGAGGAGGAAAGCCTCATTGAGGACAAAGGCAGACCCAGAGAAGAAGAAGAAAAAAAATAAAGCTTCAAAAAGGGACACACGGCAAAAGTGAAGAAACGAAGCACGAGTCCTATGTTTTCCTTTTTTTTCCCGCCCCCTCTACCTCTTTTTTCTCGCTCCCCCCACCCTCTCTCTGAGCAAACTATTTGGGAGGGAAAAGCATGTGAGTAGAACATGGAAAATGCTTAATCCTACAAGCACCACACCTCCCTCTCAAGTGGTAAAGCCATGCAAACACTGGTGCTGTGATCAAGTGAATACACAGGGCACACACACCTGCAGAAAAGCACACGCAAGGCAAATATGCAGAGATTTAGCAGGAAGCATTTATTCTCTTATTAGAAGCTACAAGAAAAAAATTCCTTTTTTCATGGATCGCATTATGTGCTTTTTTCTTTTAATCTACAGGAAAGTAAAATCAAAGCTCCCAGGTTTTTTTAGAAAATGTTATAATGTAACAGATTTGTAACAATCTGACGACCTCACTGAAACTTCTAATGGTGTTTAATCACCTTTTCATCACTGCATAAACACAATACAAGAACCAAAGTAGCTTTAATCCCTTTTCTTGCAAAAAAGAAAGGAGGAAAAAAAAGGCGAGGATCGAGCATCGCTGTCCGCACTGGGATCCACACAGAACACTGAGATTCTTACCAATGCCGAGGATGGGGTGGTGCTCCACCAGCGACCAGGCGCTGTCGTCCAGGCAGTGGCTCTTGTAGACCAGCAGCTGGCACACATCTCGAGTCGTCATGTCGGCCGGGATCTCCACGACTTTGCCGGCCCCATCCTCGCTCCACACCTTCACTATCTGAAAGCACATACACACACATAAGAGGGATGGTGAGGATATGTGTACATGACAGCAGCAAAGGTCATGTTTTCAAAAACAGGTACGAGGCATGAAGTTGCTGTCAGGAGCATTTGCAGAGAGAGGAAAAACAAAAGCTGAGACTACAACAGATGACCAGCTGCAGTTACCTCCATAACCAGGTGCTCTGGTTGGTCCCGTTCACAATATTCTGTCACTCGAACACAAGAAGGTCTTAAAATAAGAAGAAGGATGACGTCCAGGAAAGGCTGGCTGGTCCCTGAGTGTTTAGTTCAGCCCTTTTTGTCCGCAGCAAACGGACGTCAGCGAAACGGACGTTTCCCCTCACATACGAGAATATCTGCACTTGGAAAAGCTTAAAAATCTGCCCCCCCACCCCGACATTTGAACTTTGATGGCGAAACCGTGTGGTGGATTTATACGTGTTGTATATTGTCATTAAAAATGTCACCGCTGGGAGCAGCAAGCGGGCAGAGTTCAAAGTACCTCCCAGTGTTGCGCCATTTTGAACCATTTCAGCCAAAGTGCCCAGACCGACATTTAAGCCGGGTGTATTTTTTTTTGGCTTCTTCAAGTGTGTTGCTGCACAGACAACCACAGGCCAGCTGCTTCACACCACTCTATGAGCAGATTCACACACACATAGGGACAGATTGCCCTCACAAATATGAGCAAACCACAGAGGCAAAATTATCTTCTAAATCTCAGAAATGGTAGGTGGCTCTTGTGTGTGTTCTCACACGCCCACGTCCCAACATCCTCTGGTCACAGCCGGGGATTCGGCTGCCCTGCACTTCACAGACTGCCAACCAGGGAGCAACTGTTGAAAATTACATGAAACAAGAGAAAAACCTAGTGATGGGCGAAGGGTTGGAAGGTGGTGGGCGGCTGGCGGGCGGCTGGGGGGTTCACGGAAAATTAATTCAGACCAAGGCCCCCGTAGAGCGGGAATACGTAAAAACGCCAAGTAAACGGCAACCGCGGTGGTCTGGAAATGACACAGAGCGTCAGGAGCAACAGCATGCAGACATGGAGAAAAACTCCCAGCGCAACCAGAAACAACGTCACGGCACTCTTTGCCCCTGCAGAGCCCGAAGACCGCCTCCTCTCTTCCCAGATGCCACAAAGGAGGGGGGACAAAAACTGCATTTATGACGCATTAGTTTGTTTGAGAAAAGTTTTAAACACACTGACCTGAGGGGGGGGGGGGATGCAAACTGGCAACCAGACACGCACACACAAAACTGATGACAGAGACCCATAAAAGAAACAAACACACACACCCACACACACATGCAGAAGTCTCTTACCTCCACAGCCTGTAAGAGGCAACAGTCTGGAGAGCAGGATGGCATTTTCACACTGAGACGCTCTCCAGTGACACACAGGGACAGAGAGAGAGCGAGAGAGAGAGAGAGGGGAGGGGAAGGGAAACAGGAGGCGAGAGGAGAGGAAGTCAGGAAGAGAGAGAGAGAGAGGGAGGGACGGATTGGCAAGGAGAGCGCTAGAGAGGAAAGAGGAAAGAAGGGGGAGGAAGTGACAGAGGAAGGATGAGAGAGGAAGAGAGAGAGAGACAGCCCCCGACTTCTCCAGTCTTCTCGTGCTGGGCAGCATAAAGACTGAGCTGCAAGGAGTGGTCTGAACAGTAGCTCCTCTCCTCCTCCTCCTCCTCTTCCACCACTCCCCTCCCTCCGTTCGTCTCCTCACACAGGATTAACCCAGTGTGGGATTTTTAAAACGGTGAGCTGCTACCTGTCACGTACGCTACCACTCTTATCTTCAGGGTTGCTTTTCAATCCTCTCCTCCAAACCCGACTTCCCAAAAACAAAACACTGTCAGCTCCTTTTACTGATGGCGCCGCACCAGAAGTAGCAGTCCCTCTCCCTGAAACACACCCACACCTCCTCACATGCACGAGGACAGAAAGAACAAGCTCAAACTACTAAGCCAATCACTGAGCAAACACACACACACACACACACACACACACACACACACACACACACACACTGACATTTTCTTTGAGCTGCCTAATGGTTTCAATTTCTAACCCCTCCCTCCCCCTTGTCCTCCCTCCTCTTCCTCTCCTCCTCCTCAGCTGTATGTGAAATACTGTGAGACGGTGTTAGGACCAGAGCAACATGTGTAACGCACAATGACGGCTTCAAGGGTCGCTGAGAAGGCAGCAGGAAGTCTTAAAGGCAAAAAAAAGGAAGAAAAGTTGGGGTGATTCGATCTGAAGCTGCACGGATCACGTGCCGGCTGGGCAAACAGTCTTTGGGGTGGGAATGGAGGGGAGGGCTAGAAATGGAGGGATGGATAGATGGATGGATAGGTGGGTAGGTTGGTCAGCAAATCTGGAGGAAAAAGGAACATGCCGATAACATGTGTGTGTGGGGGGGGGATAGAAAGTGAAAAGAGCGAGAGCTATGGAGGAATGTCAGTAATGAAATACTGAGTCATAATCAGGCTCATGTGTAGAGCACAGGCCAGCCCAGCTGGCCCCTAATACAGTGTGCACGCCAACTATGAGGTGCATGCGCTCCAGCACAGACACGGGTACAAAGGGGGAAGACAAAATGTAAACTATGAAGACGAGCTCCAGGAGATTTTTTTCCTATACGTTACTGCTCGACGTTTGCTCCAGCCTCATGCTGCAGTTTGGCACTCAGAGTTTACGTTGATTACAGATATTAGAGAATCCCAAATATGATGAGAGAAAAGATTGGAAGAGATAATGAGCTCACTTTTGGAGTCTTCAATTTGTGTTTTTCGACTTTTTTTAGTCGATGTTTTTACTGCCAGGGTCCTTGGAAAGTTTAAAATCCCTTTACCTAGTTTCATGTTTCCATCATGAAACTTAGCTCACCTTGCCGCCCCCCCCCCTCCACTTCCCTCTCATCTCTCTCCAGGCTGAGGCTGAGGTTACACGCCTGCTGCTGCTTATAGCAACACATAAAGAGGGCCGTGAGCAACAATATACCGGACTGGAAGGTCATGTACAGACACCCGCGTGCACACACACTGCACACATCGGGTCAGAGGTCAAACAAAATAACTTACACCAGGGTCAAACCCACTTGACCAGGAAGTTTATGGGACCTTAAACCACAAGCTAAAAGTGACACACACACACACACACACTTTGAGTTTACTGTGTAAATCCATGCCAGTGCCACTGTGAGAAGATCCACAGGGAGCCTAGTTGAAACTTCTTAACATGTTTTTTTCCATCTTGTAAAAACTTTAAGTGGCACAACTGATAAACTCTGGAAGGCTTTACTGTTTCTTGGCCGTTGTGAGAAATGGAAAATTGCATACATACTGTATATAAATGTGATTCTTGTTGCTCATCAACCATGAAATGTTCAGAATACAGATTCATTCTCCTGTTTTCTGGCACGCAGGACATTTAGTGTAGCCAGCAGTACAATCCATATAAACAGACAAAAGCTGCAAATGCTCACCAGCAGGCAGTCTTTCCTAAATATTTTAAATAACATTTACAAACTGTCGGAGGTTTCTTCCTGTTAAAAGGGAGTTTTTCCTTCCCTCTGTCGCCAAGTGGTTGCTGAAAGGGGTTCATCTGATTGTTTAGGTCCTCTCTGCATTATTGTAGTTTCTGTACCACACAATCTGAAGAGCCTTAAGGTGAATGTTGTTGTGATTTGGTGCTATATAAATAAAACTGAATTTAATTGAATATTTTCAAACACTGAAAATGTATTACCAGCAGAAACCAACACCTCCACTGATAGCTGACTATGCAGCCACAGTCAGCTAACACACCCATCACTAATGCCAATTTTTGAATGCTGGCTGCTGGTGACTCCCACCCTGCTCTGTTACAGCGTCATCTGCCTTTCATGTCTGAGTGGTCGGGTTTCAGGCCAGACAGAGCTGATTAGCTCTGCAGACAGGCCAAACTCAATTTTACCTCACTGGAGAGCCATCGCAGAACTTCGTCTAGTGGCTCGTTTCCCTGCGACCCACCACGGACAGGGCACACCGTCTGTCCCACACACACTTGCACGCGCACAAACACACGCACAAACATATATCAGCCAAAAGTTTGATGGATATCTACTGTTCAGTTCGAGGAACTTATCGGGTTTAAAGATCGCTCATGTGGGCACGGTGAAATCAATCCAGTAAGACAGAATGTACAACAAGTTTCTAGCTCCACCACACAGCAAAATATTTTTTTTTTAAAAAGAGTTAAAAGAGCACATTATGTTTCCATGCAAAGGTCCACATCCCTTCCACACATCTTCTTTCATCTAGTTTGTCTGAGCTCACCATTCTCCAGTTCCACAGCAAAATCAATACCTGCTGCATAGTTTGGTTATGTAGAGGATACAGTCTCACTGATCTTTTTTGATAAAAAAAAAAAAAGTCCAAAGAATGTGGGTAAACTCCCTCTTCAGGAATTTGGATTGAGCACATGTTAATATCAGAGCAGCAATCAGATGCCGACAAAGAATTTCTGTCTTCCAAACTGGGAGAAAAGGACCTGAAACAAGCACTGATCTGTACAGCACCCCCAAATGGTCAGAGCAGGAGGATGCAGCTGAGGATGCAGCTGTTGCTCTGCTTTACGATGAAATCTACGGAGGCTTTGCTGTGACTGCTTTTTCAGCAGAGAACATGCAAAAAGTTCCTGCACCAGAACACCAAGGTCATTTCAGGGAAATATCTCCACAATATTACAACACTAGCAACTACATTTTGAATCCCTTAGAAGACTTTTCATTGTTTCCGTTCATTATTATGATTTCAATGGGAAAACTGAATCTACAGTCTATTATGACAGAAATGACCCATGTAATCCTCAGAAATTACATTCAAGCTTGAGTGAGTATGTGTGTCAGAGTCCTGTAAATCATCATGACACACACACGCACGCACACACACACACACACACACACACACACACACACACACACACACACACACACACACACACACACACACACAC